GAAAGTTTTAAAGAATGAAATCTAAACATTTTGAGTAATTAGATAAGATTTAAAGTAAAGTACTCATTAGGCCCGAGCACTGTTAGCGCGGAAATACTTTTTAAGGAGTTGTTTTTGCAGAAAGATTGTTGGCGCCAGTAAGGTCGATCTAACCTGACTTTGCTTGCAAAGCACAAAGTTGGACCAAAACACGGGTTAGAAAGTAAGCTGTTTAGATAGATAAGAGCAACAATTGTGATTAATTGGCTTATTCAGCAGTTCTGATGTGGAGCAGATGTTCAGACTCAGTCAATGGGCAGCCAAGAATCTTGATGCAAACCAACATAGTTATCTGGATTGGTCAAAACACCCCCACATACACATTAATGTCATTAAGAAGCTATAAAAGTGCCTGTTGACAAAGAATGGAGCGATTTTGTGGGATTTTGGGGAAAGACTTTGGAACAATGTTTTTGTATTGATGCATATGTGGTAGACGTATTAATAAATCTCCCGACCCGTTATGGCTGGCAGTAAAGGATTCATCTCTGAGTTTTATTTGTTTACCCATATATTTGAGAGTTTTGCGCCTTTTGATTCTCCAATAGCAGCAAAGCGCTGTGAAGGCCTATTGTTTTTGTATTTTCTTATTATTAGGCCCGAGCAGCAAAGCGCTGCGAAAGCCTATTGTTTAGATATTTTCTTATTATTAGGCCTGAGCAGCAAAGCGCTGCGAAGGCCTATTGTTTTTGTATTTTCTTATTATTAGGCACGAGCAGCAAAGCGCTGCGAAAGCCTATTGTTTTGATATTTTCTTATTATTAGGCCTGAGCAGCAAAGCGCTGCAAAGGCCTATTGTTTTTGTATTTTCTTATTATTAGGCACGAGCAGCAAAGCGCTGCGAAAGCCTATTGTTTTGATATTTTCTTATTATTAGGCCTGAGCAGCAAAGCGCTGCGAAGGCCTATTGTTTTTGTATTTTCTTATTATTAGGCACGAGCAGCAAAGCGCTGCGAAAGCCTATTGTTTTGATATTTTCTTATTATTAGGCCTGAGCAGCAAAGCGCTGCGAAGGCCTATTGTTTTTGTATTTTCTTATTATTAGGCACGAGCAGCAAAGCGCTGCGAAAGCCTATTGTTTTGATATTTTCTTATTATTAGGCCTGAGCAGCAAAGCGCTGCAAAGGCCTATTGTTTTTGTATTTTCTTATTATTAGGCACGAGCAGCAAAGCGCTGCGAAAGCCTATTGTTTTGATATTTTCTTATTATTAGGCCTGAGCAGCAAAGCGCTGCGAAGGCCTATTGTTTTTGTATTTTCTTATTATTAGGCACGAGCAACAAAGCGCTGCGAAGGCCTATTACTGTTTCTCATTATTTGGCCCAAGCAGCAGAGGGGCCTTTTTGGGAGCTTTATCATAGTCAAAAACTCACCAAACTTGGCGCACGCATCAAGGGAGTTTAACAATTTCGTATCTTAAGGTCATCGCAAAAATCGCACAAGAAACGGCTCAACGATGCCACCTAGCAATTTTCAAAGGACCTTTTGCTATTCACTTATTTTATCGTAGAGACATGGAATTTGGTACACTTGTTGAGCTACAATGAGTTACAATTAATGTTATAGTGCAAGTATCACAGAATGTCGGCCATTTTGGATTGAAGTTCCGATTTTGACCCCATTTTTGCCGTTTACAGCCTTCGTGTTTGATCAAACTCCTCCTAGGGATTTTGATTGCTTGGCTTCAAACTCAGTCAGTCTGTTCATAAGGCATGTTCCATCTGAAACGGTGGGACAAAACGGTGAGTTTTTGAGCATGCTGAAGCAGGGTTACCATGGGTCAATGTTCGCCTACTTGCCATAAAAAAACAAACTGCTTTAAAAGCTGGATGAAAAGTGTAGGGCTGTTGTCAACGAATATTTTAGTAATTGAGTAATCTATTGATTATTCTTACTATTAGTTTTCATGAGGGTATTTGTGAGGATGCCTCTTTATTATTAACTTGAATATAATTTCAGATTTTTGTACATCTTCTCTTCAGGTTAACTAAGAAAGTGAGCTATTATTGTTACAGGTTAATTTTCTAAACTACAGAAAAGTTATTGTAAGGAAAATTCAAATTTGAAAAATTAGACTGATATTGATATGCAATAGTAATACTGCTGTTATGTTAGATTTACCAATGTTTGCTTTATCCGATGACTCAATCGTAAGAATAATCAATAGATTACTCGATTACTAAAATATTCTTTTACAACAGCCCTAGATAGAATCACATTTCCCATCTGGTAGGTCAGGAATCTGCAACCTGAATCTCTGGAGACAAAAGTGGCTCTTTCACTGACTCAGTATATGTATATATCATCATATATTGCTATGCTTTTTGTTTTTTGTGTAACTTATTTTTAAGTGTTCCCCATAGAACACATTGACTACAATGTCCCCTGTGGTAAATCTGGTCAAGAACCAGCCTCCAAAGAAAACAGTAAAGAACATTGTATAGAATATTTTAACCAGCTATAAGGGCCAGACTTGTATATCATCAGCACCTTTATTCAGATGGCAACTTGTAATGCACAGTATTATGCTTAGTGATTTTTTTGCAATGGGCAATGCAGTACTTAATTCAGAATTATGTTTGTGATATTTATGAATAGAAATTGTGTACAGCATTGGCTTTATTTATTTGAATATTATTTTGTTGTTGTTCAGTACAAAATGTTGCAAGTGTGCAAAATATTTGGATAAATAATGGGTTAGTCTGATCCTGGTCCTTGGCCTTGTTAATTACTCTCGTCGCTCCATTTTAAAGTTTGATTAGTGACTGTTGTGTTGTTTTGTAATTACTTTCAGAAACTTCTCTGGGGTCACTTAAATAAGGTAAAATTAAAGAACAGCACAGAATGTGGCTGTTTCTTTGTGAAGAAAAAAGGTATTTTGTACTTAAATTATGAAAAAAAAAAAAACACCTTGTGAACTGTGAACTGAAATAGTAAAACCCTGACTCTTAATGTTCACTTTTCCATAGATGGACAAACATTCTTGTTTAAAGAAAAAAGACCAACAGCTGCATAATGTTCAGATAAAAATAATGGTAATGCAAATTCTAAGCATGATTTTCAAATAAAGTGACCTTCTACCTTGATAATAAACTGATTTAAGGTTTAGTAAAATGCTCTTAAAATGACAGGAAATGCATAGTTTTGAGTAGATTTTATTTTAATTTCCAGGTGAGCAGACCGCATTAGGACTGTGTCACTCCACAGCTGCTTGTGTCTCATTAATGTTAGAAGATGTTGGCAGGCATGATGTAGTCTGATTCTGTTTCATATATATACAGCTCTGGAAAAAACTAGCATTCCTCTGATTTTACTCTTTATAGGTACTTGTTTAAGTAAAATGAAGTTTGTTGAACTACTGACAACATGAAATTCCAAGTACAAACTTGATATTTATTTCCAGAAAATGAGAAAAGGTGAAAATAACAAAAAAGATGCAGTGCTTTCAGACTTGTTTTTTTATTTATTATTATTATTCAAGTTTATATTCATTTAGAAACAGCAAAACAAATGTTTTAACTCAAGAAGAGTTCAGAAATCAATTTTTGGTGGAATAGTTCAATGGGGTTCAGTGCAGTGGTCTCTAAATTTTTTCCAGATCTATAAGAGGTTATTGACAGTTTTAGTTGGACTAAACTATTTAATTTCTTTTGTGAGTGTATCTAAATAAGCAGTGATGTTTAGAAAAATACACCAACAAATAACTCCCTTTGGTCCTTAGCCCTGCAGGGGGCTAAGCACCTCTAAAGGTCAGATCTTAGAATCGGCCCTGACTTACGCTAATCATCTAATACACAGCCGCCAGCAATGCTCGGTCTATCCACTCACCTGCAGCATTCTTCCCCGCTGTTTGCTCTGAACCGGCCACCAGATATGAAGATGACAAGTGTTCGCCACTCACAAGGTGGGATAACTGCAAAGCAGCAATCGGAATCTCAGTAGGCCTTGACTTTTCACAGATCGCGCTCCTGGATTCAGACTGCTCAAAAGAGACAGACTTATATACTGAGACAGAAACATTCTGCGTAGAAACCGCTGAGCTGCAGTGCCTCCTAAACTGCTGTTTAGAGGCCTCCGACTGCAGGAGGCCTAGAATAATAATAGAAACGTACACTTTATTGTAAATTACTTTAACAGCTGGTATACAGATGGAAACGAGTATTTTATTACCTGCAGTCGGAGAGGCCTCCTGCTCTGACTGCAGGAGGCCTCTAAACAATGTAGGGAATGTGTGCGAGAAAGCTGCTGAGAGAAATCGCCTGATCTGAAATACCTGGAACCTGCAGCTAGTCATTTCCTAGCTTGTCTGCTTCTGTGGTCGCAGTGGCTGGCCGTTCCAGGATGGCTCAGGTTGATGTTTGCAGGGAAGACACTGTGTCACACCGAGAACTGCAGAGAGATGGAGGAAGATGGCGGAATAGCGGAGCAGGAAGAGGCTGCTGCAGCTGTGGAGTGTCTCTGGTGTTGAGGGCAGCCACATCGGTCCCTCCAATGGCCGGAGATGCAGGTGCCAGGCTGTAGCCCTACCAGGCGGAGGACAGATTCCAAAACCTCCTGGCTCTTCTAGACTTTGAGGGACTGGATGTTGGCACCAAAGAGGGCATCAGGTGGTCCTCTGGATTAGAGTGGCCCAGGCAGCGATTCGTGAGGAACAAATCGCTGAGATGGCGCACAGGTTGAGTATGGTGTCAACCGCTTTGCAGAGAAAGCTTTTAATCTCCTCTGGCAAGGCAGCTTCCTCCAACCTCTTGGAGATGCTGTACGCCAACAATGCAACATTTTCGTGACAGCCATTATCTGATAGGCACACTGGTGGGCCTGATCAAAGAACCTGGTAATCGATGATCGTGCTTAGAAGGGGGCACAGGCCACAAACCCAATTTGACACAGGTTTGGAATGAACAAAACTAAGTATGAAATAAAGTGGTACACTCATCTTTTCAAAAAAAAAATTATCCTTAAGCAGTATCTGTCAACCATGACATGAACCAAATCAAACAGCTTAAAGGCAGAAACAGTGACTTAATAAAATTACTGCAAAAAAGAATGAGCTTTAATGCTGTGGCACAAAAATGAACTTTGGCAAGCTGAGAACCAACTCCTGCATGAAAGCATCTGGTATGCTAATAATAATTTGTACTTCCAACATTCTCAAATGAATCACTCTGAAGAAGGATAGATAGGATTTATGATAACATTAATGAAGCCATACTTGACACATCAGTGATTCAGAGCTCAGGAGGTCCATGACATAAAGGAAGCAGTCTTTGTCTGGTGGAAAGTAGAGTCTGACCATTTAACTACAGCTGCTTTCATTCAGGATCATTAGGAACTGTGTTAGAAAAACTGCTGCGGTGGAACCGGGTCCAAACAGTCATACCATGGTGTTGCCCTCAGTCACTTTGTCCATATACTGAAAGGAAAGAAAGGAAAGTCAGTTTCATTAATGTATAAAAGACGACATCGTAAATAAATAATGCATGTCTGTAACCTTGATGGTAGTGACGGGCCCTATCACCACCATTAAGACACAGACATTTTACAAATTTATGCTCTCATTATTTCTAGGTTATTTTCATAGTTGCACCATTCTAGAAGCCATTCTATTCAGATGTCGGAGCTGATTGCCTGACTGAAATTTTCTCCAGCTGTATGGTGGAGAAGACTCCACCATACAGCAGTGCACAGCATCTACTTGATGCTGTGTACACTGCTACTCAGCTGCCTGAAGTAAAGCTCCTGAATTTTCCTTTTTTTTAAAAGAAGTTTGGCGGGAAATTTTAAAGGATTACAACCTATTTTTTAAAGGATTACAACCTATTTTATTCAAGGATTACAACCTATTTTATTCAAGGGCAAGGTACTGTAAAACCTAGAGTTGGGGACTAGTGGCAGCTGAAAGCCGGATGAACTGAAATAGTAAACGCTTATGTTTGTGTTGCTCTAAAAACCAGCAGAATGGTGAAAAGAAGGAAGTTTGCAGTTCTTTTGCAGTATGGGTTGTTGACCTCGATTTATCTGAAAACAACCAGAGCATTAAGCAGGTGTATATACCCTACTTTTTACTAAAGTATGTGACACAATCAAAATAAAGACATGTGACAACCTCGTTTTCAAAGTAATAATGTGTTGCATTAGTTTATCAGGAGTAGGAACAATTGCTGTTTTTTCCCCCCTCTTTTTAAAAAAAGCAGTTGTGTTTTTGCACTCATTATTGTGACAGTGCATTACCAGTCACTGTCAGTAAACAGAATGAACGGAAGGCTGACAATCACTATTATATCAGATGAACACAAGCAGAATGTCTCTAGTCATTCTCAATAATTTATTAACGCTTATGTGTTTGTGTGTGGATTCACTAATGTCACTACACAAAATAGACATATATCCCTCAGAATTGTGGATCTCTGCAGATCAGCTTTTATTGTATTTCAGTATCTACCCTAACCCCTAACTATTTCATTAAAAGCCACTGATACCTTCTGCAACCTTTCAATCTGAAATTATTTGTCTTTGAATTGTCAGATTGGGACCAACAGGATCCTCGTTCTATATTTACATCTTCTAGCTCAGCTAGTGTCTCAGTTCAGTCATTTTTAAGCCACTACAGTTATCTCTAATGGCCTCTCCGCCAAAAGACAAGAAGCTGAGGCAATGTTCAGCCATTATCTTAAGCACAATAGCTGTGCTTAAGATAATGGCTGAACTAGAGAAATTTAGAGAAAAAATGCAAACCATAGAAGAAGACAAACGCATAAACGTAGAACAAGAAGCTGCTGCAATGTCACAACGCCATCGATAGGAAAGTGTGGAAATAGAATGCAAAAAGAGAAAAGGAGAAGGCGGCTATGATAAAGAGACAACAAGAGGAAAGTTCTGCAAGTGAAAGGTCAGTTGAGGACTTAAAAAGATCAATTGAAAGGCTGGAAAATCTGAAAGGACTCAAGGCAGCAAAGGCAAAATTACAAGTTTATGAAGACTACTTTTTAGTAAAGAATCACTCCAAATCCTGCAAACATACAGGCAACTTAGTTAAAGAACACTGCTAATCAATCCACATAACCACCACAGTTAAATGTTGTTCACGAGAGCACAGGTGAGCTTGTAAAGCTTTTGGCAGAAGCTATGTCATCTAATAGCTCCCGATTCCAGAGCCCTCAGAATTTTGTGGGGATCCACTTAAGTTTAAACATTAGAAAGCATCTTTTCAGACTCTAATTGAGAGAAAGAACATTCCCATTGCAGAAAAGATATTTTTCTTACAGAAGTATGTAAAAGAAGCCTTAGATGGCTATTTTCTGATTGGCTCTGAAGATTCCTATATTGAATATGCTTAATGAACGTTATGGAGAGCCTTTTGTCATTGCTAAGGCCTTTAGGGACAAGTTGCACACATGGCCAAAGCTCCAAGGTAAAGACACTGCAGAGTTAAGAAAGTTTGTGGATTTCTTACAAAGCTGTCAATCTGCAATGATTACCAATGAGAATCTGAACATCCTCAATGATGATAGAGAATCAAAGATTTGCTGCGAACCTGCCAGACTGGTTAAGCAACAGATGGAACCGAAAGGCTACAGAGTATCAGCTAGCGCACATACAGTTCCCACATTTCAGTTACTTTGTAACACTCCTGTAATTGGAGGCAAGTTTTGCATCCATTACATCATATCAAGCTATAAGACAAAGTGACTTTGACAAACCAAAGACAAAACCTCAACTTACACCCATTATAAGAAGCAAGATACAGCGAATATCTTCACAACCAACTACAGAAAGAAGCATGGTCTCTTGTGTGTTTTGTAAAAGAGTAGGACACAGCTTACACAAATATTGTAAGTTCACTGAGAAACCAGTCACTGAGAGAGTCAAGTTCATTCAAGGTGAAAAACTATGTTTTGGCTGCTTAAATTTCTCCAAGAACTGTAGCAATCGGATGACATGCAACACATGCTCAAAATAACATCCCACATGTCTGCATGAAGAAAGACAAAGACACGAGACAAAGAAAGAACAACCTAAAGAACAAGAAGTAGCTGAAGAAAAGGAAACGAAGGGACAGGTAACACAATCACAAGACGTAGTTAACGAAAGTACATCTAACAGAGTGACTCATGAAAGTAGACATCTGCAATAGTACCTGTCTATGTATCCACACAAAATGAGCCAAGCAAAGAAATACTTACCTACGCTCTGCAGGACAAGCAGAATGATTCATTCTTTTTCTCAATGAAGTAGCAAACAATCTGGACACAGCTAAAACCCAGTTTAAACTCAAATTATCTACAATGACATCCAAGAAAACAACTGTTGCATGTACAAAACTTGAAGCTCTGTAAATAAGAGGATTGTTTTCCAAAAAGAAACTCACTGTGCCCAGCTGCTTATACACATGATTTTATATCTGTCAATCGTAGCAGGAACAAAATTGCTGGAGTAGGAATGTAGGCCATGGCCATGCCGTGTCTGGCCAGGTCTTGAACACATTGCTCCACCATTGGACTGTGAGATAGGACTCCTGTTAGGCTATAACTGCACACAAGCCTTAATGCCCAGAGAATTCATATGTGGTGAAGAAAACCAGCCTTATGTCCAGAAAACAGATTTGGGTTGGAGCGTCATAAGTTACTGTATGATCCAGGTAGTGATGCAATTGGAGTAAGTCATCGCATCACTATAAAGCAAGTAATACCAGACCAGTGTCTGGTATTACTTTATTCTTTAGCTTTGTGGTTGGCTCAGTAGCCAACCATAAAGCTAAAGAATAAAGTTCATTACATATGCAAGACACAAATGAAAGAAGTAACAGGTAACTCAAATCAGATTTTACAGAGAGAGCAGTGGAAGAGACAAGCATTTCACAAGAAGATGTGTGTTTCATAAGAAAGCTACAAGAAAGAATCAAATAAAAGCAAGACGGACATTGTGAAATCCCCCTGCCTTTCAAAAATGACAGACCAAATCTTCCCAACATGTCAAGTGCAATACAACGGTTAAGCAGTCTCAAACGCTGATTTATAAGGGATCAAAAGTACTACTCTGATTATACAAAGTTTATTTAGGACATTATTGCATGCAGTGACGCAGAGAAAGTACCGGAGAAGGAACTCTATAATTCCCCTGCCTGGTATATTCCCCACCATGGGGTATAACACATTCAAAAGCCTGGTAAGATCCATGTAGTTTTTGACTGCTCTGCACAATATCAAGACACTTCGCTGAATGAACACCTGCTTACAGGGCCTGACCTCTCATACACTTTGGTGGTAGTACTCTGTAGGTTCAGGAAGGGCTCAGTGGCTGTAAGGTACGACATGGAGCTTATGTTTCATGAGTTCCATGTAACACCTCAAGACCAGGATTATTTACGCTTCTTATGGTGATCTGAGTGTTCTCAGTTTTTTGCGTGAAGGTTTACCTGTTTGGCGTAGCTTCTTTACCTGGTTGTGCCAATTTTGGTTTAAAACATCTAGCCACACAAGGCAAGGGAAAGTTCTCTCCAGACACAGTAAAGTTCATTCAAAGAAACTGTCATGTAGATGATGGACTTATAAGTGTTACATCAGAAGCAGAAGCAATAAAACTAGTTAAAAAAGCAAGAGAGCTGTGTAACACAGGTAAACTAAGATGACAAAAGTTCATATCAAACAGTGACAATGTGTTAAAGTCACTGCCCAGAGAGGAGTGTGCTGATAGTATTAAAGATTTGGATCTAGTACTTGGAGAGCCACTGATGGAAAGAGCACTTGGTGTTCAGTGGTGCATCTCTTCTGATGAGTTTCAATTCAGAATAACAGTCAAAGAGCACCCAATGACAAGAAGAGGAATCCTGTGCACAGTAGCATCAGTGTATGATTCACTGAGATTTGTGGCACCCTTCATCCAAAAAGGAAAACAAATCCTACAACAGAATTATGTCAAGAGAAAGTCAGATGGGATGAGCCTCTTTCGGATCAGCACTACAGAAAATGGGAATCCTGGCTCCTATATCTTCAAAATTTACCAAAGGCGAGGCTATGGACAATGTAGCTATTTAAGAACGGTCACATCCAAAGGGGATGTTCATTGTGCACTAGTCAAGGGAAAGGCATGGGTTGCCCCAACCAAAGTCACTATTGTCCCTTGATTTGAGTTAACAGCTGCTGTAGTTGCAGCAAGAACAAGTGTAATGCTAAAAAGTGAACTGGAGATCAGCAATCTTCAAGAATATTTCTGCACAGATTCCAAAGTGGTGTTAGAATGGTGTCAGATCTACCAGAGGACAGAATGGAAACAACACCCCCATTCTCTTACTGTGGTGTTGACTGTTTTGGACCTTATTATGTAAATGCAGACAGAAAGGAACTTAAAAAGTATGGTCTTTTGTTTACATGTATGTGTTCCAGGGCAACGAAAGATGACGAAAGGTCATCTTTCATTTAAGATGCCCTTACTACTGATGCTTTTACTAATGCATTGCGTTGTTTTATTTCTATTTGTGGACATGTAAGACAAATCAGGTGTGACCAAGGAACTAATTTTGTTGGTGCTAAGGGAGAGTTTTTGAATGCACTGAAGGACTGTGACAAAGAACAGTTGAAACAATATGTATGTGAGTTTGTTTTGAACACCCCGTCCTCAAGCCACATGGGAGGTGTTTGGGAGAGGCAGATTAGGACCATTAGAAGCGTTTTAACTGCTATTCTGGATAAAACTTCTCAGAGACTCGACAGTTCTTCCTTTCTTTCTAACAGTAGAAAACCCAAGTGATCCAAGTTCACACTAAATCATATTCTCATGATGAAGTCCAGTGTTATTCCACTCCCTCCTGGTGAGCCAGGACTTGTACCTGAGAAAGAGGTGGCACCAAGTTTAGTTTTTAGCCAATGAATTCTGGACAAGGTGAAAGAAAGAATTTCTTCTTAATCTTCAACAGAGACAAATCTGGCAAAGAAACAAGAGGAATGCAAAGGTAACAAGGAGAATTGTTACTCTTAAAGAGAACAATTCTCCAAGAAACAAGTGAAAACTGGCAAGAGTAACAGAGGTATATCCAAGCGCAGATGGAAGGATCAGGAAGGTGAAGCTGTTACTAAGTGACTCGACCTTGGATAAGGATGGAAAAAAGGCTGTCAAGCTAGTGTATCTTGATAGACCAATGCATAAAACTGTGTTGTCACTGGAAGCAGAGTAAATGCTAAAATGTAAATATTTCTATTGTAATGTTATTTGAAATCACCATAGGGGAGTGGTGGTAGTTTTACTGTCATAATTTTAGTTAACATGTTTTATTTTGTATTATTATTATTATTATTTTTGTTATTACAACTATTATTTTGAAAGGTTAAAGTAGGAAGTGGAATCAAGCATGTTGCTAGGGAACCAGAGAAAGAAGATGCAGTGATATGAAAGCATAACTTTAGCAACTGGTTTTAGAAAGGTGATTTAAGTTTAAAGAATTTCTGTATTAACCTAATTTCTGCCTCAGAGGAAGGGTCAGTCAGTGAGGTATGTTTATATGTTTTATATCTTTTTTTTTTGCTATTGTATTCATGACACCATCTCACTTAAGTTTATGTTGTATTTTAGTTCGACGTTGGTGTCAGTGAAACAAAGTGAAGCCGTAACAAGAACAACTTTAAAGAGTTTCATAAAGCTGACTTCACACCAGCAGTGCAAAAACTCTTGATTGCCATTAAGAAGAAGAGGTGGAAGACCTTTAGTTCCACTTTCTTCAGTTGCTTTTAGTTACTGAAGAAAGTTATTTCAGTGACTAAAATAGCATTGTTATGCCAACTACAAGATGCAAATGGAGAGAACAAGTGAAGATCAAGATGATGCCAAAAGGTACAAGATGATGCCAAAAGGTAAGATCAGAAAAAAGTGTGGAAGAGAAACTGTGATCACCAGCTGACAGAAGACTGAGGCTGCACAGCTTAAATTTACCTGTAATTCAACTAAACACTCTTAAAAATGTTCTTCTGTTGGAAAAGAAAAATGTTTTTTCTTTTAAACATGGCAAAACTTCCTGGTTTTGTGTTGTAGACACAGAATCATTAATGTCCTTGATGTGCTGAACATTTTAGAAGAACCACAACAGTATGATGGAAGTAGTAAAGAAATTTAAGTACGTGTTTTTCTTCTCTCTTCTGCCACCCAGAGGCAGAAGTAGGCCATCATGCAAATGAATAGTACCAACTGGTGGAGAGATGTTACTGAACGAGAAATCCCACTAAACTGCTGACAACAGAAAGTTCCTGCGTTGCTTCAGCATTAACACTGCTTCCCTTGAATTGTTTCATTTGCTGTCATCTGGTCTGGGGACCACAGTTCAAGAAAGACTGGTGAATGTTCATGTCTTTGTACAGCTGTGCATTTTTTTCATTTTCATATGATAGACTGATCAGAATTTTGTGAAATGGTAAAAATATGGGATATTGTTCTAGTGTCTAACCCTCATTTAAACTTCTCCCCTATGTCACCCTGACCTGCCTCCTGGGTTCCTGGGTTTCTGAAAGTGTGTTCAATACTTCTTTCATATTTCATTTAATTTTTTACACATAACTGCATTCCTGGTTTCTTTTGTATGTGTGGGTAATATCTGTCCTTGTCAACATCTTGTGTAAATTAGGAAGTAACTAAAGAAAGTCTGGGTTCTTGGCAGGAAATTATAAATAACTGAGAAATGGTTGGTAGACATTGCAAGTAAAAATCTAAAGTACATGGAAAATAGTGACAGTCATAATACTTCTAATGATGCTATTTTCTTATCTGAGATAAGAGACTGTGTTTGGGTGGGATTTAGCATGTAGTGGAAAATTGCAGTGACTGACCACAGCTGCTGGGTATCCTCAGAACCAGCTTACGGAGGCTTTAAAACAAACAGTTAAAAGAGACATAGATACAATTTAACCTTAATTGTTAATTCTCAAACAACAACATAATAACAACATATTTATATTTAAAGAATGAGGTTTATGTCAGATGCATTATTTGTTGATGCTGGTGAGACATTCTTATAATAACTTGAGCTTGAGTGAAAAAGAAAAAAAACTAATCAAGTTTATTTTAAATCAAATAAAATACATATATATTGCTGCAAAAATATGCAAAAATAATATAGCAGCTTGATTGGTAAAGCAAAAATGTAACATTTAACATCTGTTCAAGCTTATTTAGATTTTTGTACATCAATTTGAACAAAAATATAGAACAAACATTAAATTTAATAATAGTTTACAAGTGCTCATTGTACAAAATTTTAGAATACCAGGCTGACATTAGCTTCTTAGCATGTGTAGCTATCTGCTCATGTTGCTAGGCAGTAGACTGCTGCTTGAAGATTTTAACTACCATTTTAAAGCAGTCTCACAGAAAAGCTATGGCATGTAACTTGTAATTTTTTTTTTACATATTTGTTGAAACTGTCATTATGTTTCATAACAAATTGTGTTGTCCCGATGGACCGAGTCCACAATTAGTCTGAGCTGAACCAATACGAGAATGGCACGCACTGATCATGGCTGGATGCGTGCCACTTTTCCTCCTCTTCCCCTTGCTTTCTGCTACCATACAGCTTCTAGCAGTTGTGAATGCTAAAGCTAGTTAGCATGGGTAACGATAAAACCGGATAAATATTTTTTCTGTAATGGTAAGCTGATTCTTTCGCATTGAACAGCAAGTTCACAAAATTGTTTGTGGTCGGAAGCCTAACCCATAGTATTGTGGTTATGGTTAGGCTTGTAAGTTAACCAGCTTATAAAACAGGGCAAATGGGATATTAATGCTAAACTGACTTTGTTAAGTTGCAATAAATTGTATCTTGCTCAAGCAGCAAAACAATCTGTTGGTTCTTTTATGTTTTTTTATTGTGTGGTTATAGTTGTGACTGTGCCATTGTGCATAAACTTCCGGCCACTTAAAGTTTTATTAACCCCCTTCTGAAAGCATAACCTCAACCCTGGCAAATTTTGAAAAATTCCATATGGCTGAGTGTAAGAGGATGGAGGAGACGAGTGAATTGATAATAGAGGCACTGTTGTCAACTTACCCACTTTGTCACTATATTTATCAATTTTACAGACTCTTCCAGTGACCTTTGTCAAAACTACTAGTTGTTTTTTTCAGAAACAACTAGTCTTTGAGACTCTAGTGACTTCTTTTCAGTGTTGTTGGAGACTTTTATGGCAACAACGTTCTGCAGCTTGACCGCAGGCAGCCTTTCTGTCCTGAGTATGAAAGAAGCTATTGGCGACTCGTCATTAGCTGCCATTAGCTTCTCCTGCTTCCTCAGCACTGCAGCCAGACTCACACAGTCATCCATTCAACACCAAACCTTCACCAATAGTCAGACCAGAGGAGACACATTCTATTTAGTGTCCAAATTGCAAAAAAATCACACATTTGTAAGGCTGAGTAATGCTACTACCAGGTGCCACGGAAACACTCCAACTCCTGACTTGCTACCAGGTCAGGAGTTGGTGGGCAAGAGGGAGAAAACATCTTACCGGAACGTCACTAATTCTAACACCACACATATTTGGAGAACTGAGTTATTTTCTCTTTGTACTCTTAAACTATATGTTTACAGAACAAGAATTAATGCAGTCTCATAAACTTGCAGAAGATTTTGGATGTTGATATTTAACAGCTATTCGTGATGACAGCTGTGGCAATCGGCTGCTGTTGAGAGACTTGAGCAATGACCAATAAAATGATTCATGCATGTGAATATAGCACAGCTGCAAAGACTGCTGCAGTAGTGGTCAATACTCACAGCACTGATGAAGGGGAGGTTCAGGATAGAACCAAGAACTGGTATTCTTCTGATGAAGCCAACCACAACCGGGAAGAAGCCCCTGCACACAAACCCAGAAGCAGAGAGAGTGTCAGGAGAGAAAAAGCAAATTCAGAGTAGAGATCTGGGGTCTGAAAAAGATTGTGAGTACATAATGAAGTTGTAGTTATCTTCACTTCCTCTTACCTAAAAAGAAGGAAAAATCCATAGATTTCCAGCACAACTCCAATGATAGGCCAGCCAATAAGGACTACAAACACTCCTCCCAGGAAGAAACTAGTGGCCTTTAATTTGTGCTTCTGAAAGAAGAAGCGGAACGTTCGCTCCAAGCCGATGACGAAAGCCAGGCCAGCGACAAACAAGATCTATGGAGAAGAAAATGGTCAGTGTATCGTATAAAGGACAAAACAGCTAATCCACGTGATAGATAACGAACCTCCACCTTGAACAGATTTGTTCCAGGGTTTAAATTTTTACACCTCTCCAGACTCAAATTTCTTGAGTTGTCATTTTTAAAATAAGAAATAGAGCAATTCAGTGGATAGATGGATGTTTTAGATACATTGACAGAGAGTAAAGAGGGAAAACACAAATATTTTTAAGAACTTTTTTTTTCTCTTTTGTCTCTCATTTGGACCATGAAAACTTGTCAGACTGCAAAGAAACACCTGGTCAATCAGATCATCTCGGAAGAACTCAAACTGTAAATCAATACTATCTAGCGAATTTTTTCTTCCTTCTTCCCCCAAAAGACAATCAGAAGTACAAGAATTATGCTTCAAGCAATTGTTACTAAGCTTTAGATTTTAACTGGAAACAAAAAGTACACTAAAGTGCATGTATGACTGATCGACATCTGTTTATCAGAATTAAAGTGGAAGAGGGTTCTTAGTTTTGAAGGATTGGATGAACTATAAAAAAATCTGGTGAATTGGTTGAGTGGTTGGGACATCTCTTATAACCAAGTCACTAGAATGAACATACATTGCATTGCATTGTTGCCATGGATGACACTTCACATGTAGATTTTACAGCATTATTATCACAAAAAGCAATACTCACATTTCCAATGGCCAAAAGTGCTTTGTCAAAGAACAGGATCATCCCAAAGAACAGGAAAAATACGCCAAAACCTGTTAATCCCATTCCAATTTCTGACAAACATGCATGCACGCACGCACACACACACATATGGAGAGACACACACAGACACATATTCAAATCACTATAGCAGCCTGATGTTCATTCAACAATTTATGTATATTTTTTTTTTTACTTTTTTGCTGTTGCAATCCAAAAATATGGTTGTTTGAAGATACTTACAGGATAAACTGGTACTGATTAGGTGTTCTCTCCTATAACATGGACATCTTTAGTCTGGTAAAAACCAGCATCTTGTACTACGCTATTTGCTTTGTATAGAGGGTGCTGTTAATGTTAACTCGATATTTGGAAGTGTAGCCAACACAGACTTAGTGGCTTTGTTCATTTCCTCTGCTGCCATTGCCAAAACTACAGGCAGACTACAACGCAGAAAATTTATATCATTGATCACCACTTTTCCTGTTTGCTAACTAGTATGGTAGAAAATCTACCAGAGACAATTCAAGTTAGGGGAGAGAGCTGAGACTTGTCGAGTGGAATTGTAGAGGAGGGCAATGGTCAGGCTAATACAATGTTTATATTTATTTGTAAGGTCGTGATTGCATATAAGAACAAAAAGGTTACATATAGGTTGAAAAATGTGATGGAAAAGGTAATTTCTCCCAAAAATTCAATTCAAAAACTGAACTGATTCATTCCAGTTCACTTGTTGAACAGAAATATTTCTGTTCATTTAGAAACAGTATGAGTATTCTCACTCACGTAAGTTTGCAGGTATCCTATGCAAACTTTCTACCACCTCTTTCTACCACACTTTTCCCCTCCACTTAACGTTCCATTAATGTGTCTGAATAGTACTGACACTCTGAGCTGACAGCTTCTTAAAACAACCTAGTGTGGCTTATCTCCCTTTTGGATATCAGTGATTACTCTTCTTGTAAAAGTGTAGGCAACAACATTTCAATACCAAATATAGTTTTTATAGGTGTAAATAATGGTAAGTTATGGGTTTAAATAATATATAATGCCTATTCGAAACCTTTCTGCATCTGATCATTTACATTTAATATTATTGGTATTTTTTAAAATTATAACAATAATATAGGAATTTTATTCATTTATTGTGTTATTTAGTCGTTTCTTTATACTTTATATTTTAACATGTTTAAAATAAAGCCAGCCAAATTATCAGTAGCACCATTGGTAATATTTCATTATAAAGCAATAAAATAATAAGACTGCTTGAAAACTTCCTCGTTCACCTTGATTTTTACTTATAACTTAAGTATCTTACAATTCACTAAACAACAAGATGTTGGTGAAAGTAAGAGGTTTGCAAAACTGTTTAGCAATACGAAAACTTATTTCAATTGAGCCTATAAGTGAGACTGTTCATGACATGAAAAGTGTAGATTGGAAGCTTCTGTGGCTGAGATGGTGCCAGTTTGACCTGGCTACTTAGCTACAATTTCTGTTCAACAACTAATATCTTACTTTGAGAGTCCGTTAGCGAAATCATCCTGATGCTGAATTAGTAAGGTATAAAACAACACAAACAAAAATAATAATACAAATATATTTGAAATTCTTCTAATGGCTTGGATGACAGCTACCACAGAATCGGCAGCCACATCTTCCGGAAACACTTGTTATAGAATAGTAATCTTCCGGGACACCTTCGCGAGCTACATTACACACAGCAAACTTTATTTAACGTCACTCCACATGCATATTTTGGCGATGCAAAAGTATGCATGCGGACTTCAACCACGGAAACATATGTATTTGGATTTGTTGCAAAGGTCTGGAAAAAAAGGTAGTATTTGAGGAAATAGGCTACATTATAGAAGTCTCTATGTTAAGTTTCTTGAATGCGGCACACGAAGGTTTCGTGATATCTATGCCCTGTGAATTGTGTGACAGGCAGTACTAATGTAGCCGGAACCATGTAAAGTGTTTGTTTCAGACCAGACTTTACTCTTTATATGTTAAATGTAAACTGTAATACATTACTTTGAAAATTACACGTCGTAGCGCTCAAGTTGAAGAATCTGTGACATTTTTGGAAGAAATTATCTTACCTTTCTAAGGCTCAGTTCAACCAATTCGTCTAATGACTAACCTGGCGGACTTAATTTAGGGAATATTTCCATTTCCGTTTCCTGTGTGTTCACTTTTGCTATTGTAGCAACAATAGCGAGTAAATGAACCAAGGTGTTTGACTGGTTATTTCGCTGTTGGAATTAAGTTAGCGAAGCTTACTAAGCCAACCTTTAGCACATAGTTTCAACCAGGAGAAAAGCTAGCTTGTGGCATGTTAGAATGCTCAGTATCTTGATTTTCTGACAAAATCAATCAATCATCATCCTATCATTAAACTCTTGTAATTTTTTTTCGAGTTGACCCTTTCTTGACCGCCTTCTGTTACATGTGCGATATGTGAAACTGTTACTAAGGTCGACCACTTTTCGCGAGCAAAAGTCAACAAAAATAAGGTTGGGAAAGCTTAAAACCTGTAAGTATAAGTTTTCTTGATAATTTTTTGCAAAATGCAATTGGTACACTTTTTTAAAATGTGTGCCTAAGTACAGAATCACTTTTACATATTCTGTGACGTTACGGTGACTAACTTTGATGTATTTTATTGGAATTTATAGTGATAGACCAACAAACCTGTGAAAGCACTTCACATGATACAAATAGTGTATCATGTATGATACAATAAAATGTATCATTTTCACCATGCTTGAAAAGTGCAGCATCTCAGCTTCTGTAGACATTAAATCCAGTTCAACCAATTATATGTTAAATGTAAACTGTAATACATTACTTTGAAAATTACATGTCGTAGCGCTCAAGTTGAAGAATCTGTGACATTTTTGGAAGAAATTATCTTGCCTTTCTAAGGTTCAGTTCGAACCTTAGAAAGGTTCGAACTGAACCTTTCTAATTGTATTAATTGAGTCCATCTGTGTATGATTTAAAGAAAATTAATGATCAAGTAGTGCTGTCTACCCAAGGAACAGGGTAGACCGGTTCAGAGATAAAATTTAAAGGTATAGACTGATATATTTTATAATAGATCAGTCACAAGGGCTCAAACAAACGCTACAGATTTAGTTTGTATGAAGGAAGGACAAGAACATCTGCAGCTGCTCTCAAGATATAAAGGAGACACAGCACCCTGAACACACTCAGCAAAGACAGACTTGGTCATACAGCCAAAGCTACAGCATGTACACATTCATTAATTAGTTTGCAAAAGTTATCGTCTCTAAATGTGTAAAGTTGTTGGAGCTATTTCTCCAAAAGACTTAATAGCTGTATTTGCAGTGAAAGATAGGTGCACAAACCATTGACTCACAAGGAGCTTGAAATAAATTCTTATACACATGAATCTATATGACCACCAATACTACTAGTCCTGGGTGCTGTGGTTCTGAGTTTCCACTTTTCTGGTGGTCAAAATTAGGGTTATCAATTGACGCTGTTAATTGAGTTTTGTAGTTTGTCAATTGATTCTAAATCATTAGTGTCTGAATCTCAACACATCAACTAATAGGTTTTGTCCCTGCCAGGCAAATCATCACTCCTTCACCCAACCATGCTTGAAAGCTGGTTATAGTGTTTGAAGTGATTGACATCTTGTTCCATGGGTTTATGGCTCTTTGAGATGCAACTTCTCAAAATTAAGTTGTGCCTTCTGGCAACAAACTCACTTAAACTATGTTCATGATGGTTTTCCTCCCTTGCATAGTCACAACAGCACCTGTATGCTTTAGATTACTCAGCTGCCTGGACTCTGTTGGTGATCAGATAATTGATCATCATTTTGCTGTTACTTTTTCTCTTCACATGGCTTTTTAATTTGCTGTGTAAATTATGACTGAGTGTTTTTCTGTACTTGGGGTTATATCTAAATATTAGGACCTCATAAAGACCAAATAACTTCTTGATCATTTCTAATACTAGAATAATAAAAACAAAATATAACAAGCAATTTAAAAAAACTGACTGTAGATCATTTATACAAAATTAGAATGAAAGTCAACTTTGCTTCTGAAATAGACTTAACTAATGGAAAATCTGATTGTGGTTTAACAGACTGAAGATTGAAACATTACTGGAAAGATGGATTCTGGTGTTGGAACTAAAGGTGAGTGTTTCTTTAAAATTTATAATAGTCACCCCTAACTGAAGATAGAGATTGATGCTACAAGTGTAGCTCCCAGTCGTTTTCGTAGCAAAAATATTGTGAAAGTATGACTGCTTGGCAAGACATCACAGCTGCCTTATAGTGAAGACCAAGGAGGTGGATTTCAGAAGGGATAAGGATTCTCTTCATTTCAGATACTTTGGAGGAGCTTCTATTGCTGCCATGCCACAAAGTGATGTAAGTGGAGAGAATGCAATATATATACTGCTCAAAAAAATAAAGGGAACACTCAAACAACACAATATAACTCCAAGTAAATCAAACTTCTGTGAAATCAAACTGTTCACTTAGAAAGCAACACTGATTGACAATCAATATCACCTGCTGTTGTGCAAATGGAATAGGCAACAGGTGAAAATTATTTTCATATTTATTTCATTCATTCAGATCTAGAATGTGTTATTTGAGTGTTCCCTTTATTTTTTGAGAAATAATAAATAATTATATATATATATATATATATATATATATATAATATATATATATATATATATATATATATATATATATATATATATATAATATAAAAGGTATATAAAAATTTCCTTCTCACCCACCGCGGGTGGTTCTTGTCCTCTGAGCTCGGGTCCTCTACCAGAGTCCTGGGAGATTGAGGGTCCTGCAGTATCTTGGCTGTGCCAAGGACTGCACATTTCTGGACTGAGATGTTGTTCCTGGGATCTGTTGTAGCCATTGATCCAGTTTGGGGGTTACTGCCCCGAGGGCCCCAATGACCACAGGCACCACTGTGGTCTTCACCTTCCAGGCCCTCAAGGAATTATTCTAAAATCAGTGAAACTTGTGTTCATTGCCATATAGCTAAGGCAAATTTATCCCACATGTTCTGGACCTATAACACACTGTGCAACTTCTGGTCCACAATTTTTCAGATCCTATCTGAAGCTTTTGAAATAGGTATCCAACCCAGAGGTGAATTGGCAATATTTGGAATTCCAGGGGAGGGAATATCATTAACACACAATTTTAAAAATGTACTGGCTTTTTCAACTCTCCTCGCCTGAAGAAGAATATTATTAGTGTGGAAATCAGAACACCCACCCCAGGCTTCTTTTTGGTTAAAAGATCTGACCCTGTTCCTTAAATCAGAGAAGATAAAATTTTGTGTTAGAGGTTCGATCCAAAAATTTTATTAAACTTTGGCCCCTCTGTTATTTTATTTTGAAAGATTGGATGCCCTCCCTCGAGCCTGAGAGTTGCAGGAGAGCCAGCTCTGCTGTGTGTCTGCCTGTGCCTGTGCAGTTTTAAATAACCATGTCCTGTCTTGTTTTGTGTGCCCACACTTGTTGTATTATTACCTCATGCTGTCCACGTTTAAGTTCTTATCTTGGCCCCTGGGTTTTTTATGCTTGTGGGGTTTTTTTTTGTGTTGTTTTGTTTTTCAGCTGTATAATTATAACAATAGTTATTGTTGTTGTTTTTTATTATGTGCCTTTTTCCCCCCTTTTTCTTACTTTATTTTGTTGTTTTTGTTGTTTGCAGCCGGATATGGATGGATGTGGAGAGGTGGGGGATAGAACAAAAAGAATGAAAAGAAGGGGGTGAGAGGGATGGGAAGGGGAATGGAGGGAAGAAGAAAAAAGAAAAACAATGCTATGTTTGCTTTGTCCCTGTGTTTAATGTCCTGTTGTTGATAGTTGACTAAATAAAAAAATATATTAAAACCCTTAACCCTACCCTAAAAAAAAAAGGAATGATTTGTTCAGAGCAATGTGCAGTGTTAGGTTTCTGGAATTTTCCTGACAACAGTGGACCACACAAAAACACACACATATTACTAACGTTTTTTTTTTTGTTTTTTTGTGCTGTTGTAACCGTTAAAACATCTCCTCTTTAGTTCAGTGGAGATACATTGTTAATGTTACCATTATTAACTTGCAATTAAGTATTGTGAAACATCAATGTCATTTTTACAGGTGGTGGAGCGTTGTTGTTAGCAGCTGCTGAAAGTAACTAAAAAAGTTACTTTTAATGTAACTTAATTACTTTCGAAATCAAGTAGTCAGGAATCTAACTAATTTACTTTTCAAGGAGTAATCAGTTACTTTTTCAAAGTAACCGGTCCTATGTATGACAGTATGTGTGAATGTTCCAATAACCATGTGACTTGATCAGTGACAAACAGACCCCGATAACCCATCGAGCTCCTGGAAAAAAAAAAAAAAAGATATATTTCTATGTCAGTCACATGGCTTTAATGTTCAGTTTGTTTCAATGAGTGCTATGGATGCATTGCACTCATTGGTTTTTGTGTGCAGATGTGCAGGCAGAGTTGGACTTGGTGGAGGCTGAGCTGGAGGAGGTGGAGCTTCAAGTCACAGAGCTGCTGAAAAAGCAGGCCCAGTTGACGTCTCGCAAAAGCAATCTGCTGCTGCTACTGGAGGAGCCCTGCAACGCCATCGGTTCCTCATCCTCTACGACCTCAGTTCCCGAGTGGACGATGAGCAGGCAGGAGCTTCAGCGCTATGATGGCTCAGGTACCGGACAGCCATGCACCTCTGCTTTTTAAGCACCTCTGCTTTTTAAGCAGAGGTGCATGTCTGGATCCCAGTTTGATTACGGAGTTGTGGAATAAGTCATGGTTGACTCTTCTTGATAGATTTCCCTTGGTCCAAAGAGGTGGAGCAGCATCTGATAAGCTCCTTTGGTCTTTCTAAGTTCAGACCTTTGCAGCTCACAGCCATCAACCTAACCATGGCAGACAATGATGTGTTTTTGGTCATGCCTACAGGAAGAGGAAAAAGTCTCTGCTTTCAGCTGCCTGCAATCTGCTCAAAGGGTACAAACACACACACGCATAAACACCCGTGCATACAATCTGTGGTCTTCTGGATCTTTTTGACTTTTAGGTTGTTTTTTTTAAGACAAATCTGTTGCTACTTAACTGTCACCCACAAAACACTTCAATCAGTCAAGTTTATTTATATAGCACCTTTCAGCAACAAAGCATTTCAAGATGCTTTACATCACTATCACACAAAAGTACAACATCATAGAACACACAGTCAACAATTGAAACATTACATTTTGTCAAGTGTCATTGTTACACATCACAGTGTTGATTAATGTTTCATTTATGATGTTTCAAAGGTAACTCTAATCAGGTAGATTTAACGGCACTCAGTGTTTTGTGTGTTTTGCTGTTTTCAGCCTAGAGCCAGAAGACCTGAGAAGTCTGGAAGGTTGATACAGCAGCAGCAGATCTTGAATGTGTTTTGGGACTAAGTTGTTCAGTGATTTATTAACTAACAAAACTATTTTCAAGTCTATTCTCTGAACAGGGAGCTAGTGTATGGACTTTAAAACTGGGGTGATATGCGTTATCCTCCTGGTTTTGGTAAGAACACGAACAGCATGCAAATCAATGGGTTGATGAGGACACCATCAAGGTGTTAATTAGGCCCGAGGACCAAAGCGCTGCGAAGGCCTATTGTTTTTGCACTGTTTATTAGGCCCGAGCAGCTAAGCGCTGCGAAGGCCTATAGTTTTCATACTGTTTCTTATTATTAGGCCCGAGCAGCTAAGTGCTGCGAAGGCCTATTGTTTTTGTACTGTTTATTAGGCCCGTGCAGCTAAGCGCTGCGAAGGCCTATTGTTTTCATACTGTTTCTTATTATTATTCTTCCACCCAAGTGAATTGGCTTTTTGGGGGCTTTATCATATTGAAAAACTGACCAAACCTGGTGGAGGCCTCAAGCCTGTTTAAAAGTTTCGTATTTTAAAGTCGTCGCAAAAATCGCAAGAGAAATGGCTCAACGGCGCCACCTACAAATTTTCAAAGGACCCTTTGCTATTCACTTACTTCATCGTAGAGACATGAAATTTTGTACACTTGTAGAGCTCCCCAAGATGCTCTAAAATTAGAATTAATGTCATAGTGCAAGTATCACAGGAAGTCGTCCATTTTGGATTGAAGTTCCGATTTTGACCCCATTTTTGCCAATTACAGCCTTTGTATTTGATCGAACCATACGTTGCCATACGTTTGGCTCTCAATTCCACATGCTGCTTAATGCTTAAAGAAATATATGAATACTTATAATAATTAATATAATTATATATTTTGTAACGGACTTCTACAGTTTTTAATGTTTGCCTGAACTCTTGAACTCTGAGTAAAGAATTTATTATCCTGATAGCCAATACGCTCCCTGTCTGAAAACCCTCCTTAGGGAGTACAAGACTGTCTTCTGATTAGAAATTTATGTAAGTTTCAGAGAATCACCAGTTGTTTTAGTTTGGATCTTTATCTAAGTTTGTCTTAACGTAAAGGTTAGCCTATTTACGCTTGTGCTAATATAAAACCATATTTCAACAAAACCATTTCAGTAATTCGCCACTTGGGGTCAGTTTTACTCCACCAATGAAGAAACTTGCATGAGAAACACAGTGATGATGTGTTTCTCATGCAAGTTGATGAATATGAATTAATAATAAATTAAAGCCGCATGATGATGAATAACTATACTAGTATTTTGCCAGTAAGGGTCAATGTTACTCCACCAATTGCAAACAGATCGACGGGCGGATGGGCATGAAAACTGCGAGAGAATCTGCCTGATATTTCCAAAAGGACGTCATTTTCTCTTTTTTATAGAGGTGTATGATCTAACTCATCCCACAGTTTTTCAGATACAGACTCACTCCACCAATGAAAGAACTTGCATGCACAGCTAAAGATGATAAATAACTGTGCTAGTATTTTGCCAGTAGGTGTCAGTATTACTCCACCAATGAAACAACTTGCATTACAAAGACAGCTAAAGATGTCAAAACAAATCGACGGGCGGATGGGCGTGAAAACTTTGCGAGAGTGTCTGCCGTGACATTTTCAAAAGGAAATGTTTGTTGGCTTAAAAAACGCAATAAATGTGCTGGTTCTGGGAGCCACCATGTTTGGAACTGCTATTCCGAGCACGATGCTAACCGAGTCCCTCAGGCCTACAACGTTTGTAGAGCTAACGGAGTGCTTTTTGAATTCAAGAGACTGAATAGTGTGTTTGATACATTCAGCCTTGTTTGTTGTTACGTATAAAAACCTGTTTAAATGGTTGTTTCGAACAGCTCTGAGACAATGCTAAATATCTTATTACCAATCCACTGGGGTTGTAATATTTAATTGTAGCACTTGCTGTCATTAATACCTAATTAATGGGTGGGATTCAGCCTGTGCTATTGTTCTAATGTGCTGAAAGTTAACTGTGCTTTGTTAATGTGCATTGCCCTAGGTTTATTACTGACCAGTACGGTTTATTAAACTGGTACATCTTCAACTTTACAATTTTCCTCACTCATATTAGGATAAGGTTAAAGTTGCACTGCATTTAGAACTCAGATGTAGTTATCTTAGTCTTGTTATTGTGTTCAGTTACGCACACACACTGTTGCCAGTTAAGAGACATATTTCTCATTGTGAACTATTTGAACATTGTGAACTATTCTCAGGCAGATTCTCTCACCTGAGAGAATCTGCGTATTGTTCATAGGAAAAACTGAAACAGTGGTTACACTTACTTTTAAAGTTATTTATATGGATTTCTTTCAATGCAAAGTGACTTAAAATGATAATCTGATGAACTCTGTCAATGCTGTCTGCTGCCTGAACGATGTGGGCGTGGCTAAGTGTCAAACTTTGAATATTCGTCATGAGACATCAAAGTTCAATAACTTTGAACTTTTTAGGTGACACCTGCATAAGACTTGATATGTCTCAATACAAAGCAGTCCTTTTCACATTGTCATGGTCAGCTGATGTCATCACCTTAGCTCCGCCCACTTCCAACAGAAATGAACCTGTTTTGCATGGTGTTTATCTGCGGTGGCGGGCGGCGGTGCCAGAACCCCCGCAGTGGCCAATAGGCCGGAGTGGCTGCGCCTGACGCCACTATGCGGCTTGTTTGCATCGCTAGGGATCTTCTTTTTCCATTTACCTGTATGGCTGTGATTGACTGGTTGGTCATTATGTTGCAGGTCTCACATTGGTTATCACACCACTCGTGTCTCTGATGGAGGACCAGATCATGCACCTGAAGTCTGTTGGTATTCCTGCAGTCATGCTGAATGCATCAAGCAGTAAGGTAACTGGTAGTAACTGGTAGAATCTTAGATCATCTCTCAATCACTGGAGTATCATTGGTATGCAATAATTGGCCGAACTGTTGGTGCAGAGTCTCAGTCAATCCAGAGCACTCCACTGTGCCCCTGATCCACCTTGCATCATCGTCATAGATGTAAAAGGTGATATGAGATTGCAGAATGTGTGTGACGTGGTGATCTAATGCAAAGTTACTGAAAAAGACTGCTTGAGTGCAGTGCTTGGTAGGACATTACATTCGAAGTAATATGCATTCACAATATGCATGTACTTCCATACCTGATTTAGTTCTTTAGTGCCTGAGATGCTTAAACTCACAGAAAGCATGTATGTGGGGGGAGAGGGGTAGCCCATGTAATAAATATTGCAATTTAGCTCAATAAAAGCCAAATAGAATATTTTCCTAACATTCTGCAGCCTTATTTCTGTACTTCTTTCCTTCCTCTCTGCCTGCCTTTTTAAAAAATCCATCTTTTTATCCCTCTACATCCCTTCTGTTGATCTTTTTTATTTTCTTACTGCTTCTACTGTTTCTTCCTGAATGTCTTCTTTGTATCTTTCCTTCCTCAGTATTTGTGTGTCCATCATTCATACTTTTCAGTATACAGAGTTTGCAGATGACTTCTGTATCTGCCAAGCATTTATATAAAATTTTAGTTTTTATTATTACAAGAAGGATAGAAAACTCCTTCTGGACTAAGTTGTTCATGGATTTGTCCAATTCTGTGCATGGTTTACAATTTGCCTAAACGTAAGAGACTGGACTGGACTGTTTGCTGTTTGTCTCTTTTTTTTTTTTTTTGAAGTTTCACTTCTCAGGCTTCTTTAGATCTAATGATGGATGAGGAGCATCAAATTAATAATTTGCATGAAACCCATTAACCATAAACAGAATATTTACAGGGAAAATGTAAGTTCTCATCTTTATTTAACAGAAGGCTTCACAACAGAATTAACACATACTTTCTTGACCTCAAAAATGGAAGGCACATACAAAATAAAACAACAGTAAATTCAGACAGATTCTTCATATTTTATATGGCTTTCCTTTAACTGCAGGAGCATTCGAAGATTGTCATGGCTGGAATGACGGATGTGAAAGTCCCCTTCAAGATGGTGTATGTAACTCCAGAGAAGATTGCCAAGAGCAAGCTGCTGATGTCTCGACTGGAAAAAGCCTATAATGCCAAGCTGCTGAGTCGTATAGTTGTGGATGAGGTGCACTGCTGCAGCCAGTGGGGACACGACTTCAGACCAGGTGACAATTATTTTATTAGCCAACTATTAAAGTATTATTATTATTTTGTTATATTGTTTTCAGTGAAACTACTTCACATAATAAATGGATATAATGTCTTACTACAATTAGCACTGAAACGATCAAATATTGAAATAATCGTAAACTAACTTAGTAGTCACTTAATTAATTGATTGTGAACTTGAGTATACAGACTCAAAAGAGGCCATTGGCTAAAAAACACATGTTCAAAGCAAAAATTAAGCCACAAGTGTACAAAAACATATAAATTTTCCGTCTAAGGGAAACAACCTTGGCCTATAAATTTTATCCAAAATTCCATAATTCACCTGGTTCAGAAATACTAAATGAATGCTTTGTTACTGCATTTTAGATAATGTAATATTTATTCTCTTATTTTAAAATGAATTTAAGTATTTATTTGTTTATGTATTTTTGATTTATTTATAAAATTGTGTAAAGGCTTAAATGAAAAATCTCTAGAATTAACCATTTTTAAAATCTGATTAATTGTCAGAATAGATTAATTGCATAGATTCCTCAATTACTAAAATAATTGCTAAATGAAATTATTTTAGTAATAAAATAATTACTAAAATAATTGTATTTTATTTTACTAAAATAAAATACTGAACATTTTGATCAAAGTTCTCCAATAAAATACTTCTGCGCGGCGTCATACGTTAGTACAAACTGCAGCACAGCTTTTTATTCCACTAAAGTAATTTGAAGATGTCTCGTTTCTTTTAGCGCCTCGGTGGCTTTGACTTCACATTGTGGAAGCTCTGCGATGTGGAGGACATCAAAAATTAGCTTCAATTTGTGACACTTTTGTATTTCATTTTACTAAAATAAAATACAATTTTACTAAAAGTGGTCAAAGGTAGCTTGGAATCAATAAAGGTAGCTTGAAATCAAAGTATTTTTGAATTTGAATGACTCGTGTCTATTTTTTACTTTACAGATTATAAAATCCTGGGTATCTTAAAGAGACAGTTTCCTTCTGTGCCTCTCTTTGGCCTCACAGCCACAGCAACCAGCAGTGTCCTCAAGGACTGTGAGAAGATATTATGTGTGAAACAGCCAGTCATTATCACTGCCTCCTTCAATCGAACTAATCTCTTTTATGAGGTAACCATGACAACTGTGACAGCTAACATTTTTCAACAATATGCTTCATAGATAAGTGCATGCTAAACATCTGCGTACACATATTACATCACAACCACAAACTTCACAATATATTTTATGGATTGTATACAATAGATCAACACAAATTAGCACATAGCTACAAGCACAACGTGTTTTGGAAATGTTTTGGAGAAAGTTTGCAATAAACTCACAATTGTGCATTAGTGTGAAAAAATTTGACCGTCGTCTGATTTTTGCATGAATTTCCATGACTGCGAAAGTACTGGAGGGGAGATTAAAGCTGTCAGTGATCAATGAAGCGCTTACTTATTGTTTTTTCACTGAACATTTTGATCAAAGTTCTCCAATTACCTTTTATCTAGAATTGTTTCCTTGTGTGGGGCACAATGGAACCTGACAGTCTGAACTAACGTGTAGAGACAAATGTGACTGGAAGACCTTATGAGGTGAAAAAAAATTTAAAAGTTAAAATGGTATAAATACTTTAGCATGGCATTATATGCACTGCTCATTGAAAAAGTGTGGATTAAACACATGAAAGCACTCATTTAGTATTTAAGAAGCAATCTAATTTACTTTGCAAGAGTAAATCCCCACAACTCATTTTCCCCTAACAATACATCATAAGTGGTTTGTTTTAATCCCACACTTCCTGTTGCTTTATTTTCAGCCAATAGAAGTTGATCCTTTTAAAAAGCATATAAATCCACAAAGTCAAATTTTATGAAACAATATATTAGACAAATAGCTAAAGTCTATTGTCTATTTTTTATAAATGTCTTTCGTGCGCAGGATCAGTCAGAAAAGCTTAAATTCATTTTGACTCCTTGAAATTCTCCTTTTCTTTTGATCACAAAGACCAAATTAAACTCGTCAGTTATTGAATAAATAAATTAAGAAAGCATTCAATTCAGTACATCCCAGAGTGCAGTTGATGTGTACATTATATGCATTTTACTTTGCTTGCTTTGTTTTTTTCTAGGTTCGCAATAAAGACTCAGATGGTGATGCTTTAATGAGCGACATTACCTCTCTAATTAAAGGCAAATACAAGAACCAGTCAGGTAATTGTGCTTTGAAGTTAGTCGTTTCTTCTGTGGTTTTGTTTTCAGCTCACATATTGACATAGAGAGCAGCTACTTTGTGACAATGATGTATGTGCCACAGGCATTGTGTATGTGTTCTCTCAGAAGGATGCTGAGATGTTGTCTTCTGAACTCAAAAAACGTGACATCTCAGCATATCCTTATCATGCCAATATGGACCCAGAAGACAAGTCGCAAGTTCACTGCAGATGGACCTCAAACAAAATCCAGGTGATAAACTTGAGTGATCTTACAAAAATGCTGTAGTTTAACTAATTACATATACATATTAATACATGCATGTTTTATCATTCTGATATGTGTTTTGAATTTTACTGTTGATTGAGTGATTCTATTTCTATGGGATAAATTAGCTGATCTGTTTTAAATGTTTATGTTTTAGAGGTCCAACGACCCATTTGATTGTGGGAATCATAAGTGAGCATTTTCCTGAAATATCTCTATTGGCTTTCAGGTTGTGGTTGCCACGGTGGCGTTTGGCATGGGAATTGACAAACCAGATGTCAGGTTTGTCATCCACCACACCATGAGCAAGTCTGTTGAGAACTACTACCAAGAGAGTGGGCGTGCAGGTACACATCATATTAAGGGGTGCACTGATAAATCAGCCTTAATTTCCTTCATTCTGAGCAATTGGCTGACACTGGCATGACAAACCTATCTTATCCACCAATCTTATGCCTATGCCTGGTGTGGTGAACCAGTTCAGCATTAAGAGCCAAGTTAAACTCTTTGTCACCAGAAAGAACCACGTAGCAATTCAAGATTAGCTTTATACCACATTGCTGAAACTGTATTTTGTTAGACCCTATACCTTTAGTGGAACTCAAGGAAGTTTTTATTTTTTACCAATGTCTTTAGGTATGGTTTTTATTCTGTTATAGCTACTTTCATGTATATCATCAAGTACAGGACAATGATTAGAGTAAAAACTTATTCATCGATGTACAGAAAATATGTCTTTGTTTGCCAAACTGCCAGATGTGGAAGTGTCTCACGCAGGACATTTTTGAAACATGTAAGGGCAATTTAGTCACGGGGCTCAGATGTGTATCTATTTAAGGATATTGTGGTGACCTTGCATATTTTACACTGTGCTCAAACATTATTTTGGTGTAACATCACTGGACCCATTGAGCCCTGCTCAGTAGACTTAAGAAGGCCTTTAATTTAAACATTAATATTCAAACACTAATACTTTTGAATATTTGGAATGTGACGCGCTAAATTAAAACTCAATCAAAGGTTAAACACAGCAGGTCTGACGCACGTTATTAAATATCATTATTCATTTAAACTCAAAGGAGTCTTTGTTTCTTTCTGATTTTTCTGACTTTTGTTCTATTATTTTTGCAGTAGAAAAATTGCTCCATATCTCAAGTACATAGTTCTGCTACTCTGCACATCAGCGCAGTGCACACAGTATTGATTGCGTTATTGTGAGCAGAACCAGTTTGTTTTTCTCAGTGGCAGATTCTCAGCGGCACCAGAACCTGCTGCGCAAACTCTGACATAATGTTTGCTTGTATCTTTTTTACTGGTGGGAATGAACCACAGTCTTCTGAACTTGGATGTAGTGTGAAATGCACTGACTTGAAATAATGCAGCCAATAGAAATACAGAGATCTGTTGAGAAAAGCTGTTGCCATGGAAGCAGATTTTAATACTAAATGATTCAACTCCCATCTATCATCTAAAGTCTCCCAGACTGACAACTACTGGAGACTGGTAGCACTAGCCAGCACTGCTTTTTCCAGTGCTGCCTTCAGGGAGTGTGGGAAATTTTAGTATGAAAGAGCTGCACAGGATGCATCAGAGTTGCTGCTCAAGAGTTGAAGATTTGCCAGTCCTGGTATATGCAAAGATCTGAGAATCAGCCACTATTCTCTTTGCTCTGCCGTAAGAGAGGACTGACTGACTGTCCCACCAACCAGCTAGAGGTATACACAGAGGTAGAGGTAGCTGACAATACAGTGTTGTAGTAACTTTTTAGGAATAAAAATGGTGTCAACCAAAAATCTTAGTTAAAAGATCAGTGATCAGCTAGAAAAATCCAATTGGTGAACCCTAATCCTCTTACATTTAAGTTCTAATAGCAGTTTCAGTGCTCATTCATTCTTTGAAATACATAATGTTATTCTGAGACCTCAGGTCGGGATGATCTTCCAGCAGACTGCATCATATATTTTGGCTTTGCTGATATCTTTCGGATCAGCACTATGGTGGTCATGGAAAATACCGGCTACCAGAAGCTGCTGCAAATGGTCGCTTACTGCCAGAATGTTGACAGGTAACAAGCTACATGATTAATCTCTTGTTCACCCTTTAGCTAGAGATTATCTGATTGTTGGCTGTGTGAAGGTGTCGGCGCTCTCTCATGGCTGTCCACTTTGACGAGGTGTGGGACAATGAAAGATGTAACCAAATGTGTGATACATGCCGCCATGAAAAAGGTTTGTATACATAGCATACTTACACCTTGAATTTAGAAAGATTTTCAGTATGAATGTGTGTAGAGTATAAGTGTCAGCTCTATACCCCTTCAGGCTACACTTGTGTGGATATTACCCAGCATGCAAGACAAGTGGTGCTAATTCTAGAGCAAGCAGGGTCCATGAATGAAAAAGTGACCCCACTGAAGCTGGTGGAGACATGGATGGGGAGGGGCCCAGCCAAGCTCAGGAAGATGATCCAGACCACGGCTCTGTCTCGGCTGCAGGCTGAAGCTGTGATTATTTCTTTGCTTCTTCAGGGATATCTCAGGTGACTCATCCTGTTTCTGTGTTTAAATTTTGGTTACAGGGGCTAGTAAAACTTCCTAACTTACTTTTGCTTATTCTGACTGAAATGATTCAGTCAGAATAATCAAAAAAAATGCAGTAGAAAAATTGCTCCATATCTCAAGTACATAGTTCTGCTACTCTGCACATCAGCGCAGTGCACACAGTATTGATTGCGTTATTGTGAGCAGAACCAGTTTGTTTTTCTTAGTGGCAGATTCTCAGCGGCACCAGAACCCCCTGCGCAAACTCTGACATAATGATTGCTTGTATCTTTTTTACTGGTGGGAATGAACCACAGTCTTCTGAGCTTGGATGTAGTGTGAAATGCACCTGACTTGAAGGAGTGAAGGAGGGTAGGTCTGAAATTTTGCAGAATTTTCCTTGTTTATGATAGTTTTGTTTAAAAGAAATAAATAAAACAAGAATTCACATTAGTACATTTTTGTGATGGCAGAGTGAAGCAAGAGCAATTAAGATACTTTGCCCACCAATTTTAAAACTAGGGAGCAGCTTTCCTAAGGTCCAGTGACGCAAATGTTTATGGTTACTTTATACTTTGGTTTTTAGAGCAATGGTTCATAAACAATCTATAACATATATTACATCAATGGCAGAATTACCATTCCTACCATAATGACAGCACCAGATTAGAAAATGAACTTCATATTTTGTTGTATTATATCAAGCAAACAAAAGAGGGGGAAAAAATTGCCAATACTTTATAAGTTGTGCAGTAAAGTATCTGGTTTGAAGTTATTACAGCCCTGATTAGTCTAATAGTTAATAACTTAATTAATGAGAATTTATTAGGCCCGAGCATCAAAGCGCTGCGAAGGCCTATTGTTTTTGTACTGTTTCTTATTATTATTCTGCCCCCCTAAAGAGAGGCCTTTTTGGGGGCTTTATCATATTCAAAAACTCATCAAACTTGGCTGACGCATCAAGGGAGTTTCAAAATTTTGTATTTTAAGGTTGTTGCAAAAATCGCAAAAAAAACGGCTCAATGGCGCCACCTAGCAATTTTCAAAGGACTCTTTGCTATTCACTTCATTGTAGAGATATGAAATTAGGTGCACTTGTAGAGCTTCCCAAGAAGCTCAAAATTTCTAATTAATGTCATAGTACAAGTATAATAGGAAGTTGGCCATTTTGGATTGAAGTTCCGATTTTGACCCCATTTACATGGTCAGTTGATGACATCACTTTAGCCCCGCCCACTTTTAACAGGCAGTCACCTGTTTTTTCTGCTGTATGTTTTACTTTTATTCTATCATTTACATAGGTTTCATCCTGTGAAAACTGACTTAAAATGTTAAGATGATTAACTGAATACTGGCTGCTGACTGAAGCGTATAGGGTTGTAGATATGCAGTCCCTCGCCATGTGCATACGATCGGCTCTAAATCACACATGGATCAGCCGACTGGCGCCAAACTGGATATGTATGACCTTTGGTCACCTTGAAAGAGCCCAACAATATTTCAATGTAATTTGACTCCACTGCGCCTCGTAAGTTAATCCATTAGCTGTATCTCCTCTCTACATCCTCCGATCTGCACCAGATCTTTTGTGCGTCGCCGGGCAGCGCCGCCGACCATATCCATAAGTACCGCCTGGTGGACGGGCGTGGAAACTGTGCGAGACCTTCTGCGTTGTCTGGTGGGGAGCAGTGCTGAAAACTCAGCGAGAGCTTCTGCGGTGGCGGGCAGGTGGCGGTGCCGGAACCCCCACACTGGCCAACAGGCCGGAGCAGCGCTTAGCTGCGAGGGCTGCATGACTTCGCTTCGCGGCTTTAATTTTATTGTTACTTTTTAAAGCTTTCCCCATTGGTCCATCTTATAAAAAAGTAATGAAAATGTTACATTAGAACTATTGTTTTTTACTCTAACCTGGGAAGAAATGAATAAGACTAACTGGGAAGAAGACTAAATTTGCTGTATTGTTTTTTGTCTCAATTTGAGTTTTTTTTTTCTTTTAGTAAATTTATCCTGTTTATACTGTAAGTTTATAGTTTTGCTGCCTCTAACAGTTTTAAACCTACTTACTCTTCATTTTGAAGTCAGAGGTTAAATTTTGAAGTACTCAGGCTAAAGCAATAAAATGATATAATTAATGTGAGATTAACAATATAATATATAAAAAAATTTATGTCATGGGAATCAAGGTTTGTACATCAAATAACTCCCATTTGATGTAATGAAATGGGAATAATTTCATTCCCATTTCTTGATTACAGCGCCTCATTCAACTAGCATTGTAGTTCCAACTTACTAAAACTTTTTAAAAGATGACCCCTTTTTAAGCCACGTTGGGCTTTCAGTTGTGAGCTGGTCAAGCTGCCCATGTTACACTATAATGTTCAGGACTACCTGGTCACAATAAGACTATAACCTTCACTTCAGCCATCTATAAAAACAGCTCTGTTGGCTTGTGTATTGACTTTAGAGAGGATTACAGCTTCACCCCATACACCACCTACTTCTATATGAAACTCGGCCGCAAAGCTCCTCTGCTCAAGAAAGAGACTCACACAATCAACATGAACATGTGGCCAGCTGGAGATGGACCTTCTCTGGTGAGTGTTTAGTTTAAAAGGTTTGTTGTCTTTAATCAAAAAGGAGGGTTTTAAAGGTTAACTACAAATTCTTTTAAAGTTCCCTTCTCAGGTGAGTTTCACTTCTCATAAAATTTGGTCTGGATGGAGTTTCAGAAAACATTCCTCATTCAGGCTGGGCAACAAGGCTGTTTTAGAAAGGTCGGCAAGATCAGAAATGGGCCAGTTACCTGTCAAGTGTACAAAGGGTCTCCAAGTATGCCTGATGCTTAGAGTAACAAATTACTTTCCCACTGTCACATATTGCTCTTTTCCATCACTTTCCAGAAAACACAAGTATTTCAAATTGTAGAAATCAAAACTGAAAGTGCACCACTCTTATTAAGCTAATCGTTTCAAATCTGCTGTTTACATGCTATGAATTTTCTTAGTGAGTTCAGGTGAGTTGTACTAATATTATGGCATTTTTACTAATACAGAAATTATTCAAGTATTTGAAAACTGATGACATTCTAGTGAACTTGGGAGCAATAACAAGGAGTTATTGGCCTACCAATGGCCCAGAATTCCAGTAAAGTATTGAGAAAAGTTTGAGGAAGGAAAACCACAAAGTTTGACCCAAATCATGCAGTTCAAATGTAATGCTACTAAACACTGAGGAAATGTATGCAAACTTCTGATTTTGTAGACATAATTAAACAAACCTCTGATATACATTTTCTTGTATTATTATGGCAAATAAATAATAGAAATACATCTAGCAAATAGAAACAATTCTGATAATTGTATCTGACCTTAAAACAAGTGGTTTGGCGTTATTTGTCTTCTGGCTTCTACAAAGCCAGAAGACAAGTTAAATAATTCACCTAATACCTAATAAGGTACTAGGTGTATGTAAACTTCTGGAGGGAGTCTGGCATTAAAAATAAGAATGTGGTGTTCTTGCAGTATTCTTTTGGTTCACTCTAGCTGTGGACCATCTCAAATAAAGACTGTTGTTAATGACTTACAGGTCAAACCTGCAACTGATAAGGAAAAATCCAAGGAGGAAAAGAGATCAATTCAAAGCTCTGGGGACTCTCATGTGTCCAAGAAAGTCAAGACAAGACTTTCCTAGTCCCCTCAACCTCTACAAAGCCAGAAGACAAGTCAATAAAGTACAGTCCATCATTCTATACTCTGTTGTCTTCTGCTGCTATTGGCATCCCACCACCCTGATAATTGTGCTTGATGTTTGAAACTGAATGTTCGAGGTTGGTTTGGTAGGGAGGTAATTCTTGTCTAATATTAACAGGTTAAATCAGTAAAATCATTTTCACCAGCAAGCTTGGACAATGCATAGACAAAATTAACTTCCATCCACAGCAAATCGATGGCTAAATTTAAATTTCTTTTCAAGTGTCCAACCTCTGGAAACAAACTCATGAGGCCTGAACATGTTTCCATTGTATGAACAAATTAAGATATTACGGTAAGCTTTAGAATTCCTCTTAGCAGTATAGACACTGGGGGCAGTCTACCAAAAATTATGGATGATTGTAGTTTCCTGACTAATTGTTAATCTTTAAAAAGCCTGACCTGTCAATTTTGACTTTGGCCAACATCAATGATTTTCCTGAAAAACTTAACTTTGCAACCGTGGGATGAGTATTGTTAACTGTACAGACATGACTTTGTGGGGGGGTCTCTTAGTCTCTCTCATGGCTGAGTATAAGGGGACAGTGGATGATTTTCAGACTTTTGTATTGGCAAGACTGGTGGATAGGATCAGTTTTTAATGTTATAAAACCTACCTTAATCTTCGACAAAATAAAATGGACGAAATGAAACTTCCACAGGTAAAATGTGTTGATAAGAAATGAGTAAGCAGTATGTGACGTAGTATCGATGTGCACATGCACATTACCGCGAGGTAGGACAGATTCATGGATAGCACAGAAAGTTAGAACACTGGTTAAAAAAAAAAAAAGTGGAACACCAGAATGCGACTGCCCCAGGGCTTATCATGCATCCAGCATTTCAATAGGACAGAATGGGGCATAATAATGAAGTTGAACAAAGCAAATATTTCAATAAGTACTGGGAATTTTGAAAAGAAGTTTATCATTAAATTTAGAAATTATGAATTTAAAAATGTAAAGAAAGAATTTTTCTCAATCCAGTTTATTAGTCATTGTCCAAGCCTACTGTTCATTTCCTATATTACACCTTATATGTCACTGACATTTCACCCATTATCATATAACTGGTCAGTATATGCTCAGTATCTACACTTGTGAAACCTACTGTTGCTGATTGATGCTTTAGAAAACTGAATAAAAGTGATCTGTATTACTTTCTTTTTTTAATGCTTTTTGTCATATTGAGCCCTTTTTTGTTGCTATGTTGCTCATTTTCTATATTTCACACATATAGGACAAATCAGCTACTGAAGAGGTCTGTATGAGCCCTGATCCCCCTTCCATGAAGAACAGATGTCCCCCACACAAAAGAAACAAAAAAGAAAACAGAAGCTGCGGAAACGAGCTAAAACAATCCAGACAGGGAGCACAAAAGGACCCTGCTCACAGAAGGAGAGGAATAAGGATAGGATAATGTGAAAAAAAAATCAGAGCAGCAAATCAGAATTTTCAAAGATACAGCCCTGTCCTCACTGTGTCCAGCTCCCCCTCCCAGGTTTCACTAAAGTGAAATCAGAAAAGAATTTCACTTTAGTTTCTCGCTTAAAGAGTAAATCATTTCTGTCATACGAACAAACTCCTTCACCTTTTCGCCTAAGAATAGAAAAACATTTAATTTAGTTTATCGACCATATTCTGATACAGTGGTCCTCGTGATGACCATGAAGACTACAGCTTCTGTAACTTTAGGCTTATTGTTTCTTTAGTTTACAAATCGGTTTGTACCCTATCATCCTGTCACATTTCACTGACGTTTTTTTAAAATAAAATTTTCATTGATGTAATAAAAGATTTAAGAAAACTGACTTCCACTGACAATATTTCTTTATAAAAGTTGAAGCATTTTTTCATAGATAGCAAAAATGTAGTTTTCGGCATAACATCTCTGAGGGAACCTTCACAGGGATAAGATAATCCCAATGAATAATTTCTTCTTATCCCACTCAATAAGAAAATTTTTCTTTGATGGCCCTTTCGGTGAAACACATTAGGAACACATTATATGTATGTAAGTTCTTAATTTCTACCTGAACTCTAATATTTACTATCGCTGTCATACAATAATGGGATATGCGTTTTTATTATATAAATATATTCTCTTCATAAGTCTAGGTAAGCAACCTGACTCACCACGAGTGTATATTCAATGCACGTTCGCGTCTGTTGCGCGCCCTCGTCATAACCACGTCGCCATTTTGATTCGAAATTTATGACTTGAGTTTTTCCTGTCTTGCTTGCTAAACTTAGCCGCGCGTTGAATATCTTTAGTGAGCCCAAATCATACCTTGGACATATGCAATAATACGTATTACTGTTAATGCAAATGAGCTATTAATGCGTAAAAGTTGAGGATTTAATTGATTCCAAATGTATATTTGACTAACGTTAGCTAAGTTGGTCGAGTTCATGTTAGCCCAGTGCTGTCTTCAGACTGAACCATTTTCAAAACAAACCACTCACACGCTATCGAATGCTCGCCAGTTCTGCTAGCTAACAATTAGCTGGATAGCTTGTGACCTAGAACACTCTGCTTATGGATAAAACCCGCTAACGTTTAACAGTGAAGTAAGGGACAACACTGGATTTTCAGTGAAAGGTAAGTCTGTGCGTAAACATTTTCATTTAATGTAGTTAACCAACGAATGCTAGACTGCTACGGTAACGACAAAGTTTAATCTAAGTTCGGAAGCTGAGTTTGCTAACTTCGCTCAACAGTCAATGGCTAGTTAGCTTACACGCTAATCAGAAGAAAGAGGAACTAGCTAAGACGAGCTTGATTATTCGCCTGAGTAAGACCATTAATATTGTTAATAGGCTGATAATATTACTCAGTAGGTCGGAGTTTCTTGATAAGTCTATTCAGGTGTTGAGATCAATTGTTGCTATGTAACATAACATAATGGCTATGATTTGGACTGGTAAAGTTGCTGCTGTTGAGTGTGGTAGATTTTCCTATTGCAGTCAGATCATAATGCTTTGACTTCTTTTCTTTGGTGTATTGCCAATAATATGAAAACCAAGAAGGAGACGTTTGTTTTGTGTTTTTTTTTTTTTTTTTGCACACGGTCTTACTCGGCTGAGGCGAGGAAGAACTCAGCTTTTCTTGTTCGTGTAAAGTAAACATTGGCTTGTTCAAGCGAAAGTTTAGTCCGCGGAGTTGATTTCGAATTATTGTTTTGACATTGGGATTCATTGATTTTCGTCTGCCACCGGTCCCTCACTTGGTTTGAAGTAAACAGAAATCTGAGCTCCTACACCAAGTCAGTTGATGTGCATTTCATGCCAGAGGCTAAGTAACCTATTTTTTGTCATTTAGTTTTACTGAGCCTCTGCTTATTTATTGGTTTTATTTCAACCTATAGTTAAGGTGAGACCCTCTCTTGTCACAAAATATCCTGAAAGGTAAATACACATTTTTGCCATTCATTGTGATACAGTGATGGGATATGTGTTGTAATTACATACACACAAACACAGAATGCACAAAAACATTACTATATAGATTTTATATACCACCAGGTTAGTCCACCTCATTGTAACCCCATTGTCATTCCATGCACCTCCATGGAGGTACATGGAATCTAAACATATATATTTTCTACTTATGTACAATAATAGCACATAAATTGTGTGTCATTAGTATCTAATTGTGCAAATGAATGTAAAATGTTTCTGAATGTTCACATTTATTGTATATTATTTTCTAAAACTGTGTTAATAATGAAGTTCAGTATTACTCTGTTTTAAATAATTTTGATCCATATTCCTTTTTGGTCAGCTATTGCATAGGTAGTTGACAGATTATTACTTGAGGTGCACCAGTCAGCCTATTTCTGTTTGATGCAAATTTATGGTTTTTGTGTTTTTCTTTTCTATTTTTTTATGTCTTACCTGCTAATTTGGATTTTTTTCTTTTGTTACTGTTTTCTAAGAACTGTAACAAAAGAGAACGAGCATACTTTAGGAACTTTTATAGTAGACATAGAGTTGAATCTAACAGAAAATGAAGGAATTATGAGATTATGCCATTGATGCATAAAACTTAATTTTCCCACATTTTTCAGTACACAAACGGCTGGTCACAGATCAGAGCGGATAAAGAGTAAACTGTCTAATTGTGATCTTTAGCCTGTTGAATCACTAATTAAGATCCCTGGTCAACCCACAAACACTCAAAACAACCTTCTCTTGATAGCTATTCTTTAACCCTCTCAGGCTCAAATTACTTGAAAAGACTGTCTAAGTTGTTGCAAATCTGCAACACCTACCTGGAGAGGGCAGGTGTTGTAAACAATAGCTTACAACAAACTTTGAGTTGGCTGTGCCTCAGCAGAAACAGCAATAAGAAAAATATGAGTTAGATTCCAGCTTTCTTCTTAACCACATGTTAAAGTGGCTTCAAACAAGTTGCTTACTGATCTGTGTATTAATGGGTGAGTATGTGAATGAGACAAGTGGTCAATATGAGTAGAGAAGCACTAAGTAAGTTCAGCCTTTTTTACCAGAGATGTCCAACTCTGGTCCATGGGGACCGGAAACTTGCAAGTTTTAGATATGTCCCTGGGCATTTTTACACTGCATGGCACAAGGGTTCGGGTTTTGACGTGTTTGCATTTGTCTTTATAGAAGAGTTACACCACAGTCTCTGAAACCCTGAAATTTGTAGTTCTCTACCACTGATTGGTTCATTGTTGCTGTGGTGACTATCCTGATACTGCTTTTTGCGGTCTCGTTTTTCTTTCTTTCTTTCTTTTTTTGCTGTCTCATTTTTCTTTCTTTCTTTTTTTTTGGTGTCTCGTTTTTCTTTCTTTCTTTTTTGTTGTCTCATTTTTCTTTTTCTTTTTTTGCTGTCTCGTTTTTTTCTTTCTTTCTTTCTTTCTTTCTTTATTTATTTATTTATTTATTTATTTATTTATTTATTTATTTATTTCATGTCTTTGATGGATTCCATCAGAGTTGCTCCCATTGTCTGGTCCAATGACAAGGTAAATGTTTAACAAGCAGGTATATATGGGGTGAAAATAGTCTCAAAATATCTGTGTGTGTAAAAATATTTGGGTGTGTGAAACTATCTGTGTGTGAGTAAAAATATCTGTTCGTGTATAATACTGGATTTGTAAACCTTAAAAATAAAATATAACTTCTCCTACGCTTACAAATGTTGAAAAAGTTCGTACAAGTCACCTGTTACACACACAAAACTGCATTTATGCACAAATCCAGTTACGAGTGCATGAGTAGTTTTGAGACTCATTTCACACTTTGGGAGCTCCCAGATTTGTGTGTAGTTGGTGCATTTACATGCTAGTAGAAAGCTGGGTCATACGAGTTTTGCTATGAGTCTAGTGTTTTTATCTTCTAAATGTTTCTCACTGTGCTTGTGCTGAAGTGGCAAATACGTTAGTTTGGTGGGAAACGGTATATCTCAGCACTTACTTATAATTTCCCCAAATTATTTATAGACATATTGTGCATTTTTGAGCAGTACAGGAGACTAAGTGGTCTGAAAAATGACGACTGAGTGGCGGAATGGTTCGCTGCCCAGAAAAATAGGCAGGCAAACCAAGAAGTGAGACGGAGTATCCCGGCGGTCTGCCCTCTGAATTAAGTACAAGCTAAACAGGCAGCCTTTTCTCTGTGATTATAATGAGACATGAGACAATTATAAATAATTTTTTCATATTACGTTTTGTATGTCTGGTACTCTGCCCTTCTTATGTTTCTGATGGTGGGAGCTAATGTTTATGTGAGCTGTGCTACTTTAGCTGTTCACAGCTAAGTCCGTGTATTTTTAGTGTCACACTCATCACAGTTTGATAGTCTATCTTCAGTCTTAATTTTAACCCAGGTTGATCTAGTTTTATGATCCCAAAGTTGGCAAGCACCTTCAGGAGATTATGACAGGTCTACCTTCAGGTATACCTTCGGGTATACCTGCTTCTGCAGGAACATTGTGTGTTGCGAGACTCTATTTACCAGAACAAACTGAAAGGTACTTCATTTGTGTTGACTTTTCGACATATTTAAGGATTCTGTCTAATGTTCATACATAGGCCTGTCACAGGCCTATGTGTGAACCTCAAGCTTCAATAAGTCAATTAATCAAATGATAAATTAAAACAAACTCAATCATTTCCATTGGCCTGATTTATCATTTCTTTTGTTTATGTCTGGATCTCTGAAATCCACAGAGAACCCATTTCATCAGCCCTTAAATAAATACGTACCTCATCTGCAAACCAGGACAAACCTGCTCTTCCTGATTACCTTCATTTCAAGTTGATTAACGTAGATGGTAAAATGTATTCAGATGGTTTAGATTTTCAAAAGCATTGAATTGAAAATTTCTTTTTCTATTGATATTTTGACTTAATTAAAAGCTAATAAACACATACTTGAGAAAATAAGTATTTTATGCATTTATTTAAAGCACCACTGCAAAAATAGCCTCCAGAGTAAAACATTTAATGCACAAACATTTGATCAACATAAAAAGAAAAAATTCAACACACATAGTAACAATTCAAGTAATTTTCAGATTCAGCAATGCTCTGTTAAAAGCCAGGTTTGTCGGTGCGTCAGCTGGTCAGGAAAATCAAAACAAAAGTTTTCTAACACTAAGTGTATATTTGTACTTTCTTCTGCATCTTCAGACAATGCAGCAGCTGAGATTCTGGGAGGTTTAACACCAAAACCTCAAGCTTTAAAGTGAGCTGTCAACTGGACCAAGACACCTTTCAAACAACTACAGTAATTAACTTGCTCTGTTGGTCGTCGTTGGTCGTCTTTGAATAC